AAAAGTTGGCATTTCCATCTTCAATAACATGTAAGTTGTTCTATTGCTTTTCTGTTTCAAACGGGGAAAGATTCCTTGCTCTTCTTCTGTCGAATGATAAGTAGCCGCGGGGAGTCATCTATGCCGTCCAACGATGATCACAAACCTTCCATTGATGTCGATTGGCGATCATTCGAGTAAAACTGGTAGCTGCAGAGAAATCAAGGCCGAAAGAGCCCACTTCAGCTTCCTCACTTGTTGATCTTCACTGTGGTGGATCAACCTAATCTCATCACTGTTGGTGACAAATGGGCTCACACAATCCACAAGTCCGTAAAGGGCTGCCTACTCCTTGCAACCGAAAAGCTCGGCGGGGTCCACATTTTCAAGCGGACGATCATTTGGGTGTTGTCCACCGGACCTTTGGGCCCATCCGGCATCATTCTCAACCGGCCCTCCCTCATGTCGATCAAGGAAACTCGATCGACCGCTTGACATGGCAGGCACGTTCTCGGACCGGCTGTTGTTCTTGGGCGGGCTGTTGGAGGAGGGGCTGTTCTTGTTAAGGCCCAAAAGGGGTGATGATGCGGTTGGGAGGAGTGGAGTTTTTGATGAGGTGATGAAGGGGTTGTATTATGGGACAAAGGAAGGTGTGGGGTGTGCAACTGAAATAGTGAAGAGGGATATTGTGGGTGGGAGAAAGGGCAATTGAAGAATGAAATTAAAGTTGGTTATTGGACTGTGGCAGCTTGTAGCCCAAGTGTGATTGATCTGAGGAGCCCGGTGAAATCCGTTTGCAGTCGTCGGATACTAGAATTTGTGTTCGGATGTACGATTTGTCATTCGTTTTTAGAATGCTATTATCACTCACTCACGTATGTAATAATCGTGTACGTATTTGACAATTTGTTGAGTAAAAAGAAATGTGAGTCTTATTATAGATCTCACACAATTATCTATTGAAAATTGTAAATTGTCATACCAGGTCTTATATAATCAAATATTTATTGACAATCTAGAAATAATGATTTAACTTTTTGAATGGCGCACTTTCAATGTGACTTTTGTGATGAAAAAGTTGTTAACTAAACTTTCGTGGTGAGCTCTGTTATCAATTAGTATCTAAATGTTAATGCCCGTTAGTTTCCATTAAATAAGCACATGTGAGTCTCATGTGAAGAGGTTAGAGTTGTCCAATCAAACCAAATTAAGAAACCTAAGACATCTGTCTTTTGATTTGTGATGATTGTGCGGAGATATGGAGTACCTTTTTCTTCTCTCCTCCACCCTACATGGATCATGTGGCAACAAATTGCATCCCTTGCTTTTGGTCGCTTTTTATGGCGTTTTCGTGTTGCTTGTCATTTTTTCTTGGGTGAGATAAGTTCCCTGGTATATGCTTGCTTCTTCTCTTGCGACGAAATATATATATATATATATATATTCACGCCTCACATGTTGTTTATTTAACATAAGACTAACGGAAGCTTAAGCTTGGACCTTAATTGCTTACATGGCTCATTACGAGAGTCACATTGAAAGTGTCGTATAACCACATAAACCACCAAAAAATTTGGCCAAAATAAGTACTATTATTTCATTTTGATAAATATTGCTTGACAAATGTTTGTACTGGTAGTATATATATATTTTTTGTTTTAATTGGCTTGGCTTTAGTTTTTCTTTTTTGATTTCTCAAAACTTTTTTTGTCAACCTAATGCGCCCCCGCATTCAAATTTTTTCATTTTTTCTTATTTAAATTAAAATAGTAATTCAAACTCTTTTTTGTTTTTTTAACATACGATATTGTCTACACTAATAGCGCGTTTACTAATCCGTAATCAAATTGAGAGGAATTGAATTGAGGAGGAATTGGATTGAGGAGGAATTGAAATGAGGTGGAATCAGAATCAGATTCCTGTTGAAATTGTTTACTAAAACTGTCCGGAATCGGAATACAATTTCATAAAGCTGTTTACTAATTCAGTAGAATCAGAATATAAACCAGTATGATTACTAAAATGCCCTTATCTCAAATCAAATATTTTATATACTTTTTTTAATAAAATTTGATATATTATATAATAGTAAGAAAAAATAAAATTGCTTTTTTATTCCCTTATTCCAAAATATTAAATTTGTATACAAATTTATTGTATTACTAGTATTAATATATATAATTATTGTTTTAACAATATTAAAATATTAAGCACCCCTATGCAAATCTTATCTAGAATTATTAGAACCATGATTCCTATCTTGCTCTTGGGTTATGGCGGCTAATTGCTTAAACATAACACCCATTTCATCTTCCTCATCCTTCCCTGAAGGATACCTGTGACATCAATAATGCCCTTATTCAAACCCAGTTGAATAAAACATTCCTCCTTTCCCTGCAATTCTTCGTATCTTTTCTCCCCTGCCCACACCTCCATGTTCCCCACCCACCCTACCCCATAGCCACCGCCTCTTCTACCTGCAAAGTATTTCATAATTTTTTGGGTTTTTTGAGTGGTTGCTTCCACGGATTTGTGGGTTTCGGTCTTGGCTTGAATTGCTTATTTTCAAGATTTGGGTGATTGATTTTTGAATCCGGTTTGGGGATAGATGGGGTTCTTGAGCTGGTGGGTTGGGAAGTGAAGCACGGTCGCACAGGGAGGTGGAAGGTGAAGCGAAGACGCATGAAGGCAGAGTGCGCACGAAGCGGTGGGGAGCGGTGGACTTGTTGTGTTGAGTGGCTGACTTGAAATTTTGAAAATGTTAAGAGGGCATAATAGGTAGAAAAAATGCATTCCACATTCCCTTAGTCTCCCGGAACTCAAATACCACCTTCATCTAAGGAGTCCAATTCCTCCATTTTGGGGAGTTGGATTCCTTATTTCGTGTGGGACCCGCCACTATTTTGATTCCTCCAAAATTAGTAAACGCTTGAATACTCCGTAATCGGAATTCAATTCCTTGTTTTGATTCCGATTACGGGTACGTAAACACGCAATAAAAGGAGGGGAGGTGAGATTAGTCTCACAATTGGCTAAAATCATATTATTCAAATTTGTCTTTGACGAAAATCAAACCTATGACATCTCTCACTTACAAGTGAGGAAAAATATCAGTACACTGTAGTACTAAGTGGTAAAATAAAAATATATTTGAATATCAAGAATTAAAACAAATTAATTTTCCCAAAAAAGATTGGGAAAAGGATCCCCTTCAGTTCCATTATGCGAGGATTCTAGGAATCCTTCCATCTCAGTCGTCCATTGTATATTATGCGACCATTTTTTATCAAATAGTATTTGTGTTTAATTTAAAATAATAAAAGTCAATTGATTTATGATGTAACGATATACGATGAACGGTTGAGATGTGAGGATCTGTAGAATCCTCACATGATGGATCCACAGAGGATCCTTTTCCGCGAGAGACTCGAGTTTTGAGTCTTTGAGTTGACCAATCAGATTTGAGCAAAACAAACAAAAGCAAAATCCAAAAAAGCAATAAAATTTCTAATTTGTTTGCAAAATTTCAAATAAAAATTTAATACAAAATGGCTATACTTTTCAATTTTCTCTCTCATATTTGGTAAGCCTTAAACTCCTTTCAACGCACGTGGAAAAGACCCACGACCACCTCAGACACCAAACGTCACGGTTGGATACGTGGCGGAACGACATCACTCGCGTGGACTCCACTTTGGAATGATTGTAAGTGGAGTCAGCCACTTTGGAAACTGTCTGCTAGGTTGTTTGTTGCTTCAGTGAACCCAGTTGTCTCTATCCTTTTTAGTACTTTCCGAATATAAATATTTTTGTACCCAAAAAGCACGGAAGATGAGAGAATCTAGAAAATGTTGAAAATACGAAAATTAATATAATTATAAAATGGTCACATCTTTCACGAGTCCCATGTTGTCTCCATCCTTTTTCGTACTTTTTCGTACTTTCCGAATATAAATATTTTTGTACCTACTTGTTGCTGCTGTTTTGTATTGCGGCTGTGAATTTTGATGTATAATTGACTATATATAATTATATGCGTGTGTGTGTGTTTCTGGTTCTGCTGTTTTTGAATCTAGGCTTAGATTTTGGACTGTGTTTATTTCTTAATCCATAAGATGAACAGATAATTAAAATTTAGAATGGTCGCTTAAGATAGTAAATTCTTTCATGAGAAACTTAAGCAGCGTTTCTTTAACGGGAATCTTGGATGGATCATGGACAGGAAAGCAACGTTGGGTTCAAGATGTGGTAATGTGGAGCTATGAACAATGATTAGCACTAAAAATGTAATGATATTCCCAAAACTATGTCTTAAAACCGTGACCATTTTGTGGGTTATTGCTGATTTCTCTATCTGCTGAGCAAAGATTTATGCTTTCTTAGTCAATTAGTTGCGTCGAGTTTCAGTGTGGAACCTGATGATGTGATTCTGCTCATTGTTTTGACAGTACTGAGGCTAAGTTGAATTGTCACCGTATCTAAGTTGAATCTTGCCTATGCTTCTCTGGTTAATTGCAGGAACGGGAGCTGAAGTGCAGTCGAAGATGCATTTCCCGGGATATTATTCCATACCGAATATAAGCAGCGCTGTCAGCCATGGGAGCTGGTCCCTACTCCACGATAACAGAAACTTGAAGAATGGGCAACAATACGAAGTATTCTTGACAAGGCCAGTTACTGATGGATTTCACGGATGGCACAAGGAAAAATTGAGGCAAACTATACTGAAGCATGAGTCAATATTCAAGCATCAGGTGCGTATTCTAGAACCTATATATGTTGAGTTCTAAATTGTAAATATGATAATAGCGTTATAGTATTAAGGAAGATTGAACAACCACGGCTTTATATTGGTAAGAAAGTGTCGGACTTTGAGTGCTCAAATTCATTAGCTAATAGCAAAACGTCTTTGCCTTTGTCTGTGATTTTTTATTCAGCTCAATGAACTCCACCATCTTTACGAAAGGCAAGAGGACCTGATGAACGAGATGAGAAGCAAAGAGCTGCTCAAACATAAAAAGCAACAGGGGTATCACAATCAACTTTCTCATCATCCGGCTTTCCAACTGGAGGCTATACAAAGAGTTGGCATCTTTCTAATTTGCCCTTGGTGGATTCCAGTTATGGTAGACGATCTACATTGAGTACTTGTATCAGCCAATCTCCTTGTGATGCTATTGGAAAAACCCTGCAAAATAGCGGTGTCCCCAGCCAAAGTAGAGTAGGGATGAAGGACCATGAATCTTTGGATTCCAGAGAGAAGAAGCCTCGAAGAAAATTGTTCAATCTTGAACTTCCAGCCGAGGAATGCCTCAGTGACGAAGACGAACCAGATGGAGGTTTGGGGTTGGGAACAGACAAATCTGGCTGTAACAATAATGTGTCGAGCTCTGATTTGCATTTGGTAAGAAGCAATGGTTTGACCAATCTGAATGAACCTATTCAGATGGACAAAGTGTCTGCTTCAACTTCTGTCGTTATGTCTGGCAATCACCTGAGCTCCAAAGAGGAGATAGAAAGGCAGGTTTTATCTGCAAATGCAAACAAAGGGGTGTGGCCTTTTGCAAAGAAATTCCCTGAAAACCCACAAGCCAGGAAGGATGGAAGAGTTCATGATCTGCATTCAAAGAATGAATTCCAAAAAGTATGGTCAACAGATGCTCTCAAAGCTGGTAAGGGTCTAGTTATCTTATTTCGTGTTTATTTCCATAGGTAATTCGGATTCCATAATTGTTCAATCATACCTCCTTACAAGTTTGATTATTTTCATGTGCACGTCAGGAATCTGTCTCTAGAATTCATCTTTAGAAAGACCGACTCTTTTTCGATGATTTGCTTCTCAGTCCAACCACTGTTTTAATGAATGTTTCTGCTAGTTTCCCTTAAGAATTAAGTAGCTATATACTAGCTATATATCAGTAATATAATTCTTGTTAACTAAAAAAGAAATCCAAATGCCTAATGTCTGCATTGTTGATTGTCATTACATTTTATAAAGTTTATTCAAAGTTCTCATGTTTTAAAGAACCTATCCGTCATTTTTAGTTACTACCCAATTTCTTCTAAACACTCTCATAATTCTAACAACAAGGTATGTCTGACATTTAAGAAAAATAACTGTGGAAAGGCACATCCAAATGCTTGTAAAAACCCTAGAGCCTGCTGTCTCCACCGTATCTTCACCATAGCCTACAGTGGTTACAGAAACAACCGACTAATACATAGTATTCTCCCAGCTCTTCTTCCCCAACAAGTGAAACCCAATACAGCCTACTCCCACACACAGAGCAGGTGCTGCTACTGCCATCACTACCCTAAAACGGTCCTCACTCACACTAAAAAAGTTTACAATCTTCCTAAATCGTCTGAGGAAACCCTCACCGATAAAAACAAAAACACCACCTCCTGAGTAGCACCGAATCCAACGGACGAAGAAAATCAGAAAGGATACTAACACCCCTGACCGCCCAGTTTTGGGGACGACCTCACCGTACCCCACACCGGTCATTGTTTGAGACATTAGGTATAGTGCCTTAACTGATTTTCTAGTATCGAATTTGCTAAGATCAGCAAAGTCGCCACTCAACAACAAAAAAAAATATATATAAACGACGATAGATAAGACTAACCAACTAAAGACCTTCCAAGCCCAACTCTTCGCACCTGCACTTCCCTCTCTCTCCCCTATCCCTACTCCAGCACCTCCAATGGCTCGATTTTGGTGATGCATAGCTCCCTCACCTATAAATTTACAGGTTTAAACAATCAAATCCTTTTCATATACTCTGATCCACAATTACAAACCAATAGATATAATTGATAAACTTATAATTTGGAAACCCATTTGATAGAGAATTCATCAGCAACAATAATTAGCTAGTGGACATCAGCTTCCTCTTAAATATAATCTTTGTTACCAAAAAACTAATGGACTATCAAAACACAAACAAATTTGTACATGTCCCAACAATAAAAGGCTCCACCAACAACCAAGTCAAAAACTAATAGCTTTCCCCGTGAATTATCCTCCAATACTAATCTCTTCCCTTCATGTCTATTACCCTCACCTTCCTCGTTTGTTACCTCAATATCAACAGCAACATAGTTCACACTGCCCCGAGGACTGATTCGTCAGATACTTCTTTAAGACATTTAATCAAACATATGGTGTGTGTATAAAGATTACCAAAAAGCAGTACGAAATGGATGGAGGAAGTTTATTAAAAACCTGGGGATTCATTCATCAGATACGTCTTCGCGTGTGGGGGGCGACGGCGCTTGGCTGGCGGCGGTGGCCAGCTAATGGCCGCTGCTTCCAATGGCCAATGCCAGAAGAAGCTTCTGGCCTTTTTGTATCGAGTATGTCTGGAGGCTGGATTTTGGTTTTATATATATATATATATATATATATATATATATATTTTAACTCAACGAAACGACGTCGTCCAACTAAAGCGAATTTTTCAATTTTTCATAAAGAAAACTAATGAAAATGGTTTAAAAACTTTGAGTTTTAACGAGAATGACAAAATAAAGGGTAAAGTAAATAGTACCATGATTGACTTTTTAGTGTAAAAATATGATTTTTTGTTAAAATAAATAGTACAGAGAACTTTTCGTTAAAACTCCATTTTTTAAAACCAGCACCAAAACGGGGTCATTTTTTGGCCTGATTTTTTTTGTGATAATCGTGGTGACTGTGTGTTGAATTTCGTTTTGGGCCTGGGAGTTTTATAAATTGCGGCAATGACATTGTGGGCTTGGGCCGGGCCTGGGAGTTTTACTGGTTTGCGGTATCGACTGTAGAATTCCGACCAGATATTACTCTTCATTTTCATTTTTTTTGGTAAAAGGGAAATTTTATTAAGAGTTTTAACGAAACACTTCTGGTATTATTCACTTTTAACGAAAAACCACATTTTTACCTTTTTCTGATATTATTCACTGCACCTTTATTTGTCATTTTTCATTAAAACTAAAGTTTTTTTTTTTTTTACTTTTCGTTAGTTTTCCTTTTTATTAAACATTAAGACACAATAACAAACACCAAACACAAACTAACAAACCAACCTAAAGTCCAACTTACAATTATAAACAAACAAAAAAATGGCCTAAAACAAGAGAGCCCAACAACAGTAAGACACAAAAACAAACATAACAGCCACCATAAGCTTCCATTGCAATCTCCACCAACAGTTGGACCAATTCCCTGATCACCGCTGAATCACCTCTGCAAATGCCACCCCCAACCTTGATTTGCTAACAAGGGATAATTGGCAACACCACGAGAGAAGCCAACTACCAGTATGAAGCTTGTGGAAATCCACGAGCGACACTGTCGGAATCGGCAGATAACAAGGAGAACGTGGTGGCGTTGGAAACACCCATATTGGTGTAAACACCGAAACTCTACACATGATCTCGCCGGGAAAACTTTGATACTCCGGCCACCTCTGAAACTCCAAGAACTTGGACTTTCTAACGTCCAAAACCTTTCAAAATTGTTCTAAGGCTTCTGCAAAGCTGTTTTAAGACTCCCTTAAACCTTAAATCTCAGTGAAATTATCACGATCACAAAAGCATAATAGTGCAACTTACCGGAGCTCGGGTATCTCGCGTTCCCGTGAAGCGTTCGTCGTCCCAAAGGTACCACTCAGCTTGTGAAGTCACGAGGAGTACGATGGTGGTCTTAAACAACTCGATCCATGAGAGATTATGAGAATTGAGGAGATGACCGTATGAGTGTACGGACGAATGGAAAAGTTCGAGAGGGAGGAGAGAGGGAGTCAACGTGATTAGTATGGGTATGTGTGTGGTCCAGCTTGGGTCACCAACCAAAAACAAAGAAAATCTAAGTCCTAATTGAATCCAAATAATTAGGACTTAAAATGATTGGTCCATTTCTTTTAACTCACTTCATTTTCCTTAGACCAAATATCCAATTACGACCCAACACTTAGGGTAAAATCGTCATTCCACATTAACGAGGACAAAATAATTAATGTTTCGGGACGGGCTGTCACAAGGGGTTTCTTCTAGCATTATCTAAGATTATTTATTTACTTCAAATATTTGACTTTCCTTTTGTCAATTTACTCATATAAATATATTTAAAACATGTAAGTCGAGCGTAGCACGCCGTGATTAAAAAAATGTCTCATGTATACACGTGAGCGTGTGCATGACGACTAGTATATATAAAGCTAAGGGCTCAATGAACAATATTTTTTTGGTGTCACAAAAAAAATTGGACAGAAATTTCCCTCAAACAAAAAACTTCAAAAGCAACCCAAAATAATGCATCAAATGTGAATGGGGTATTTTCACCATTTTAACAATGTCTTTTTAATAATTAATTTTTTTGTATAGCTTTTTTTTTAATAATTAATATCTCACAATAGGCTAACAATAATGCGATTCAATCAGTTGTTCATTAAAAATTATTCTCTCTATTTTTAAACACGTCCAAAATATCTTAAGAGAAGTGTAATGCCGGTTATAAAAATGGTATTTCGCATGCGGATAATAATGTGATTAAATTAGTTGTCAAATGATTGTTTTTTTTAACAAACGATATTATCTACACTAAGGGGGAATGGATGGGCTTAGCCTCACAATGAGTTATCAATAATGTGATTCAATCAGTTATTTCTTAAATATTATTTTCTCTATTCTTAATATAAATTCAATAGAGACTGAATTTATTATGTGGATTTAGCTGCTTTAATTAGCCAATGGCCCAATGAACAGTATTTTTTGGTGTCACAAGATTCACCAAAAATAGTTGGATTCAAATGCCTCTCAAATAAAAAACTTCAAAAGCAACCCAAAATAATGCATCAAATATGGCAAGGGTATTTTCATCATTTTAACAATGTTTTTTAATAATTAATTTTTTAGTACATTTTTATTAAATAATTAGTACATCACAATAGGCTAGCAATAATGTGATTCAATCAGTTATTCATTAAATATTATTTTCTCTATTTTTAAACATGTTCAAAACATCTTAAGAGACGTGTAATGCCGGTTATAAAAAAAAATCTTTCGCACACGGATAATAATGTGATTAAATTAGTTGTCAAATGATTTTTTTTTTTAACAAACGATATTATCTACACTAAGAGGGATGAGGGTGAGCTTAACCTCACAATAGGCTAGCAATAATGTGATTCAATCAATTGTTTCTTAAATATTATTTTCTCTATTCTTAATGTAAATTCAATAGAGATCGATTTTATTATGTAGATTCAACTACTTTAATTGGTTTATGAGGGGTTTCTTCTAGCATGATCTAAGATTATTCATTTACTTCAAATATTTAACTTTTCTTTTGTCAATTTACGCATATAAATACATTTCAAACGTGTAAGTCGTGCGTAGCAAACTGTAATTCAGAAAACACTTGCACGCGTGTAAGCTCGTGCATGAAGGTTAGTGTGAATTATGAGAGAGTAAAAGGCTAAGCCTTATATGCGGTTGTGGTCTTTTTGGAGAGTTGTAGAGAGCTGAGTTTAGAATTAATGATGAGAAGCCGAGAAGGTCAAGTCGAGGACTAGCAATATCTGCCCACCTGTGAGTTATGTAAGGATGCATTTTATATATCGACCCGCAGTGGTGAAATCATAATTTTATAATATTGAGGTTATGATAAGTAAGCTTTCGATAAGAATAAGAAAACAATTACTAATTGAATGAATTAACCTTATAAGTATAAATACATTTGGTCAGTGGCTATGAATTTTAGAAGAAGAAAAAGATGGCCTTGGTAGAAGCCTAGAAGAATTTTAGAAGGTTAACACTATAATATTTACACTACTCAATGCCCAATTACCAGTTCAATTCAATCAATTGAAAAGAACACTAAAATTTTCGTGATTAATGGAGAAACAATGTATGATATTATAAATTGTGATGAAAGTATCAAGACATATATGATACGCATTCTTGAATCTTGATAAGTAGTGGCGAAGTTAGGAATTTTCGGCAGGAGAGGCGAAATTTAAAAGCTTAAAAGGTTCATAAAAATATAGACAACCAAATCTTTGTACATAATAGACAATATTAATATCATTCATAACTATTTGGAATACTCGAAGGAGGATTTGGAGTAACCGAAATATTCGAAGAAAGACTAACCGGAAATATTCGAAGAAGGACTATCCGTTGTACCCAGAATATTTGAAGAATGATTTAAGCACTGTTTCTTATAGTATTGTTACGTACATTACGTAATTGTACAATAGAAACAAAATAGATAAAAAGCATATTACGCTAATTCTATATCAATTAAACAACTAATACAAAACACCACTTACAAATTATAGGTATTATAGTTGTCAAACAATGTGCATAGTTATTATTTTCAGATAAGTATGATAAATGTTTTATATAAAAAATAGATAAGTATACCTAGTTCATAAAAGGAAAAAAAAACAAAAAAAACATTAAAAAAAAACGAATAAAAAATTAATTAGAGATGCTTTGATGCAGATTGTTTATAGGCATTTAATAGGTTAAAGACACTTTTAACTTCACCTATCATTACCGCACTTAATTGGGGCTTACTGATGTGTGATACTTCTAATTATGCAATTGGGACTGTTCTTGGACAGAGAAAAGATCAAATCCCCCAGGTTATCTACTATGCTAGTAGGACATAATGGTGCGCAGTTGAATTATGCAACCACTAAAAATGAATTATTGGCAATTGTTTTTGCATTGAAAAAGTTTCGATCCTACTTGGTTGGGGCTAAGATTATAATTTACACAGATCGTGCTGCATTAAAATATTTATTAGGACACCAAAGATTCCCAATCCCAAAACCAAAATGGGATAGCTTAATTTTTTTGAAAGAGCGAGTAAGTTGTAGGTATTGATAAGAATAGTTAAGTTTAAGATGCCTCACGGCTTTAATCTTTATCTGATGCATATTAGAATTTGTATCGACTTCGGTGGCAACAATTACCACCATGCATGCAGCCGTTGAATGGAAGTCCAAATCATTATGTAGAGGTTTGTTTGCTGCATCGTCCACCACGTGCCTCTCATTGTTCATAGGTGGGCCAGTGTATTGGATTAGTAAGTCTACTTCTGTCTAGCACCAATACTAAGTACTGATTTGGTATTGCGGTGCTTTTATAAAAAGTGAATATAAAAAAAAACTAAGTTAAAAAAGATGTTTGGTCAACACTTAAAAATAGTTTATTTTTACAGTTTTTGATGAAAAAAAATTGAAAACGTGAAACAGCAAAAATGAGTTTTGAAAAAAAAAAAACTGAAAACATGAAGCAGCATAAATGTTGGATTATGATTTATTGTTAAACGTTGAATTATATGTTTAAGATAAAGTTTATAAATATTTTTCTTTTAAAAATAAAGTATATTTAGTAATTCACCTTTATTTGTTAAGAAAATTAAATTAATGACACATCTAGTATTATACAATTTTTGTTTATTTCACATAGTCACAAATATTTTACATAAAAATTTACTAAACATTATAATATTGTTTTTTTTCCAAAAGCATTTTTACAAAAAAATTATTAAACACTCTACTATTTTATTTCACAGTTACTTAATTTCACAGCACAGCAAAAATAATTTTTTTTCGTGTTCAGACTTCCGAAATCGTTGGAAATTCTACGTGGAAGGTGCCAAGAAGGGCGAAATGGGCCCTACGTACTCATAAGTCTCAATGTCCCAGATTCCATATCCTCATCCCCCCGACCTTTTCAGTGTTCCCCCTCCTTTTTGAGTCTTGTGTCCACCCTCCTTTTTGTGTCCATGTCAACTTCCACCATTTGTAGCGTTCACCCTCCTTTTTTGTGTTCCCCTATTTAAGTAACCCCCCAATCCACCCCGAAGTCATTACCAGTTCGTCCACCCAAAAAAACTTTATAGTAAGCAGCTACTCACCCCATACGCAACTTTTTAGTATCATTCCTGAAATTCTCTCGCGGCCACCGCCGCGTTCCTCTTCCCGCAAGACACTCAGCACATGCAAAGAACCCACATCCCCGTTATGCACGTCGGAACTTCGCAAATGCCAGCTGGGTTAGTATGTTTTCTCTAGTTATCATCTTTTGGTTGTTTAATTTTTTGAATCCATTCTTCTCTGAAACTTTTTCATTCACGCACATCGCCGGACTCCCAGTTCGGTGAAAGTCTACTCATATGAAGAATGTTGCATCTACTGTTTCGTCAGAAGCTGATTGTAAAGCACAAGGGAAACAGTAAACATTCTTGTTAACCTATGAATTGGTTTCCAGATATTCTGTAACATGCCTTCTGATCAATTCTCTCTCTTTATACTACTCGTAGTACAAGAAAAAAGCGCATTCTGCAATTTGCATAATAGATGCAAACATTAACATTGACCCTCTAACAGAAACGTAATTTCAAAATATTTACCAAAATAATTTTTACCAAGTTTAAATAGTTTTTCATATACTTCGCCATGTATGCATATATATATATATATATATATATATATATGTTGTTATTCTGTCCTCGTATATGTTGATAGTTTTGTGGAAAGCTCTTTTTTCCCTTTTCATTTTGTGGAAAGCTCTTTTTCCCCTTTTCATTTTAGTTTTGTGGAAAGCTCTTTCTTCATTCTGTTTTGAACTTGTTAATTTTGAGTGAGTGCAAGTAAATTCAAGGCAAAATAAGCCTAAAATCATTTTTTTTTCAAATTTTATTATTATTAAGAAGACGGGAAGAATTCGAAATTGTTACAATAATTTAGGGGAGGAGAGAGTTTCAAATCCGGTATGCATGAGTGAAAAACCCAACGCCTTATTCACTAGGATATTGGACCACATACAAGCATAAGATCTTTGATTGTGGGATGTTTTGACATTTCAACTTGATTAGATAGTATTTTGTGGAACTAAATTAGTGCCCGTTTGATTGTTTTTTTTTCATTTTAATATTTGTGTGCAGTAAATAGAGGAAATGAAGAATAAAAAAGAGTGAAGAAACAATATGTTTATGAAACGGGGTCTTTGATAAGCTCATGTTCTTAGTTAGCTAGCAAATGAGTTCGGTTGATGACGCATGTCAGTGTCATTAACTAATATGGAAGAATTGAAAATTAGGAACTCCCGTTATCATTACAGTAACTCTACAGAGATCATTTTCCCATTCATTAATTTTGTGTTGTTTATAATACAGCAGCACTATGGAGGAGGGTGGTCAGTACAAATCTCTACCAGCAGTACACAAATGTATATTCTTTCTCCTCACAATGCTAGGAGTCCTGCTCCAGGTGATTTACGCGACCGGAAATTTGCCGTCACCATTTGTCACAAACCACAACACCGTTGTGATGTTGATTATTGATTTATTCGCTTACACGGCGGCATTAGCGACTGTCAAGATTCTCCCAGCTTCCAACAGTACAAACATGTATGAATTGATGAACAACATCAGCCTCTTGTGTGGAACTCTTGCGTTGGTTCTACTGGTGCTCCTCCTCGTTCCAGCATTCGGATGGTTTACTCTTGCATGTTGGGTCGTATATTTTGTGATAATTGTGACCAAGTCCTACCAAACCCTAAAAACTCTGTCTACTGACGCTGTTCTTTATGTCCGTGACAAATTGAAGGAGCTGATGGGGAGGTTGAACGGCCGCAACGGGGATGCTTGAGTACGATAATTAAATTGGATAACAAACCACACAAATTTAGAGTTTAAATGAGAATTGAAAGGAAGGACGAAGACACTTGGTTGGGAATTTAGAGTTGTTTACTTTTATTGCATCCATTCTTCTCTAATACTGTTTCATTCACGCACGCCGACCGACTCTGACTCTGAGTGTAAAAGACTCGGATTTTCTGCTTTCTGTCCTCCTGTTTTATATGATCACGGTTAAATCACGTTAATATTTTATATTACTTTTATAAAAATAATAAAACAAAATAAATAGTAATATAAAATATTACCGTGGCTTAAAAAAAAAAACGAGATGAGCACCAAAATGGATGGGCAGACAATCAAGTCCAAAAAAAAAAGGCCTTCTGCAATTTGCACAGTGGATGCAGATCTTAAAATTAACCCTCTAACATGTAGAAACATAATTTTAAAATACTTACCAAAATAATTTTAGTAAACTAGAAATAGCAGTCTAACATTAACTAATAACAAATAAGAAAGCAAATCCCAAATTTGCATACAGCCCCTAAAAAATCAGAGAGTCAACAATACAAAGATCGAAGAAAGCCCTCGATCCAAATGCAAAAGCAAAAAAATTGAAACCAAATAAAAAGAAATCAAGCGGTACTTGGAATTAGGGGATTTTCAAAACAGAAATCCTAATTTTAATTCTAAATCCCCAAATTGAAAGTTTAAAACCCTAATCCTCAATTTCAGAATCCAAATCAAGGTACAATAATTTCATGAATCTTGGTACCTTCAGATCAGAGAAGCTTCGATTTAGGGGTTGTGGTAGGAGATGGAGGGAAACCGTGGAAGTCTGGATCTGGAATATGGAGGACTCATAGAAGTGTGGTGGTCGATGACTCGACGGCCAACGTGTTGAGTCTGTCGGCAGAGGGAGGAGGAGGAGGAGGAGAGTAGAGAGTGCAGGGACGATTCGAGAGATTAGAGAGGTGTTGAATCTGTTGACAGAGCGGAGGAGGAGAGGAGAGAGTGCAGAAACCATTCGAGAGGTCTGAGCGCGAGAGAGAGAGTGCAGACTCTTTAAGAGATAAAGAGAGAGTGAGGTCTTTTACCCAACGGTTGAGATTTAATCTCAACCGAATCCAACGCTTACAATTTATTCTAATATATATAATTATAAGAATATATATTTTATATATCTTATTCTAATATATATAATTATAAGAATATATATTTTATATATATCGGTTCGGGAATTACCCAACATTTGGCAAACAGATCCCAATTCCCAACCGAAATATGAGGATTTTTTGGCTATGGATAATTGAATTTTTCAAAATTTTTTGTTTTCGGATTTTTTAATTTTGGGTTCAGGAGAGGGGAGAAATATGTAGATATATGAATAGATAGGCTTTTGTGGAATTGAATTAGTGCCCGTGTGATTCTTGTTTCGTTTTAATATTTCTGTGCAATAAATAGAGGAGAAATATGTAGATATATGAAAGAAATGAGGAATAAAAAATGATGAAGAAACAATATGTATATGAAACGTGGTTTTGGATAAGCTTATGTTCTTAATTAGCTAATAAATGAGTTTGGGTTGTATGCAGATATTTTAACAGTTGATGACACATGCCATTAACTAATATGGAAGAAATTGAAAATTTGATATAAGTCCAATTTTTTCAACCAATATTAATAATAGTCTAGTTTTTTAAATTTAGTCCTTTAATTTAAGATTGTTATTGTCAATAATTATCTCTTTAATGATAATATTCACTATACAAATTAAATTTCTTCCTAATTTTCTCTTTGATGATTCCTCTTTTCTTTTTCTTTTTTTTGGTTATTTCTTGTCCTTACTACTCTAGACCCCATTTATAGAAATTTTTTTTTTAAATTTTTATAATCAACTTATCTCACAAGTTAATTTTATTTATTTATCTATACGACAAATTCTTTTTTATGATCAAGTTGTATCACATATTAATGTGTCTTTCTTGTAGATATATTATTTTTTGCACCTTTCAGTTAGGTTTTGTATCTCGTTTATAGGTATAATATAAGGAAACTTTCATGAAAAAGGGTTTGGGCTAAGTTTATTTTAACAAAAAAACCATGCCATAATTTTATTTAATGAAAAAGACTTAAATTTTAATGAAAAACCATTAAACTTTAATAAAAATGACAAAATAACTTAAATTTTAATGAAAAAGACATAATTTTAATATTTAAAAAATTAAAAAAAAAACTGACGCACTGGACCCACATGTCCTCACACATACTGTTTATGAATATTACTACATTGTTTATGAAACTTAACGGTACTACATTGTTTATGAAATTTACTACACTGTTTATGAAACTTACTACATTGTTTATAAACTTAACGATACTACACTGTATATGAAACTTAATGGTACTAAACTGTTTATGAAATGTATTACACTGTTTATGAAACTTACTACATTGGTTATGAAACTTAACGGTACTTCATTGTTTATGAAACTTAACAGTAATACACTGTTTATGAAAACTTAAAGGTACTACACTATTTATGAAACTTACAACACTGTTTATGAAACTTTACGCGCGTTGGGATCACATGTTTATATTTTATGTTATTAGATGATTTTTGGTTAAAATGCAAAGTTTTGAAGCATTTTCATTAATTTTCCTATAATATAAATTCATATATTTGTTACTAATTTTCCTGCAAAGTGATTAGAAACGGATGGGACTCAATGAAATTCATCCACTTACTAATCTAATTTTCTTTCCAGCAGCACTAAGGAGGATAATGGTCTCCACAAATGTATTTTCTTTCTCCTCACAATGCTAGGGGTGCTCCTACAAGTTAAATGTGCAACCTTGTAGATGTCTTCATTTGACACAGACTACGTCATTGTTTTGATGTTCATTGTAGATTAATTCGCTTATGCCGGGACATTGGCGATTGTCAAGATACAACAAGCTTCCCACAATTCAGATCTCTATGAATTGATGAACAAAATCAGCCTTTTGTGTGGAACTTTTGCCTTGATTCTATTAACGATCATCCTATTTCCAGCTTTTGGGTGGTTTACTCTAGCATGCTGGGGCCATGTGCTTTGTGACAAGTGTGATTATGTCCTACTCAACCTTGAAAAGACTTTGCACAGGTACAACAATTGTAACTGACATACCCCGTTATGTCATTCACAAACTGAAGGAGCTGAACATGAGATTGAACGACACAGAAGAATCCCAATCCCAAAACCAAAATGGAATAGATATGGTTTAATTAATTTTCTGAAAGAGCAAGTTGTAGGTGTTGATAAGGGTGGTTAGTTTAATAAATTTCGCTGCTCTTATCTTCATCTGATGCAAATTTGAATTTGTTTTATTTGAATACTTAATATAATCTTGTAGTTAGACTATGACTCTTGTGGTTCTTATGTACAAAGCCGTGTAATACAAAGTTTCATACTTCTGTTCTTTCAATGAAAAAGAAAAAACAGAGCATAAAAAATGTAAAGAAAAAATGGTATACAAGAATAGTAGTTAACTTATCAACGATTATAATTTGCACATAACTTGTTTTCCTTTTACTTTGTTTCATATTGTTTAATGTTGTTTCATATTTTTCATATTTTATCTATATCTATAAAGGGAGAAGCTCAAATAGATGAAACATTTCAAAATGCCAAAAAAATTAATTTTCCCAAAAAAAATTGAATCTCTAGTCTTGAGTCTTTGAGTTGACCATGTGCAAAACAAACAAAAGCAAAATCCAAAAAAAGCAATCAAATTTCTGATTTGTTTGCAAAATTGCAAATAAAAATTTAATACAAAATGGCTGTACTTTTCCAATTTTCTCTCTCATATTTGGTAAGTCTCAAACAAAAGATAATAAGCCACGCTCATTTCCACGCACGTGGAAAAGACCCACGACCACCTCAGACACCAAACGTCACGGTCGGGTTACGTGGCGGAACAAGGTCACTAGCGTGGAATCCACACTCCGAGGAAGATCGAATGTTGCAAGTGGAGTCAGCCATTTTTTTTATTTTTTTTCGAAAAAAAGTGGAGTCAGCCACTTTGGGAAACTGTCTGTTGGGTTGTTTGTTTCTTTAGTGAACCCAGTTGTCTCCGTCCTTTTTAGTACTTTCCGAATATAAATATTTTTGTACCCAAAAAGCACGGAAGATGGAGAGAATCTAGAAAATGTTAATACATTATAAAAAAAAATTATAAAATGGTCACATCTTTCACGAGTCCCATGTATAATCATCCGCCGTTGAATTTGTTACAAAAGGATTGAGATTACAAAAATTAATTAATTTTTTATATCAAATGCCAAAATAATCATCATGCATTCATTAGTCATCGAACAAAATAATTTTTAATATATCGAAAACACAGTCTGATACAATAAGTATTATAGTTTAAAATTCTTTTTAAGTATCTAATTACTAATAATATGAAATTTTGTATATCTGACCGTGTTGAAAAACTTCTAGATCGAGAAAAAAAAAAATTATATATATATATATTGTTTGCACTCAAAATATATCCATTTTTACTTATTTGGGCAATTTGGATAAAATATGGCATTTGGAGGATTAATATGCAAGAAAACTAACTTGGAGAGATATTTGGTGCAAGTGGGATAGGTTTTACACTATAATATTGTTTCTCCTATTTGTTTGGGTGGTGGAGGTTTGTCTAGCCTTTGTTTAATCAAAGATACATGCATTTATGACAAGTAGATGGAAAGGCATCAGCAAGCTTTCGGGCAAGGAAAATGTGAAAGAAGCCAACTTGCTTCTTTTAAATGTTAGTTTATTACAAGTGGGAAAACATGTGCTAAAAACATGTGATGGAGATGCAAATCCCCTTTTAATATTGTTTCTACATGCAAGTTGGCAAAAGGAAATGCAAGCTGCCCAAGCTTCTTTCGAGTAGGTACAAAACCTCAGCAGGAGGGTTTCCTCCAGATCTCTATAAAAAGGAGCAGATGCATAAGGATTAGAGACACTCAAAACAACCAATCAAAACTCTACTCAAATTAGCTCATCAGCTTCCTTGTAGACATTTATTTTTAGCCAAGCATCATTTGCTTTTCTTGTTTATTAGCTCTGCTACTCACTTGTAGTATCGATATGATTTGTAGCTTTTATGTACTCATTTCCAGTCATATAAATTACAAGCAATCTGCAATATTAGTCATTTTCCTCTGTCATTTATATTTCCAAGCAACATTGTCATTTACATATTGTTCTATCTCTTCATATAACAAAAGTCCTTATTTTTAAGGCAAACAAAGAACCTTAATTTGAGCAACTCCCACTCAAATGGCATAATCTTTTGATTTGAAGTCAAAATGCGCAACCTCAATCATTCAAATCCCGTCTACTAGCGGCATCTAGTAGTGGCACACCCGCACCCACCAATCTCATATGTGCAGTAAATCCCCGGCTTGCTCGCAAGGCACCATGGCGGATTTAGGGAGCAAACATATATATATTATATTTTCACATCCTAAAAAATCCAGAATTAAAAGTAATAATTAAATGTGAGTAAAAATCATTGGAGCAAAAGCCATAGGTGAAGAAAGAGAGGGGCAGACCAGAAGTTGACAAATTTGAAGTCATTGTTGCTCTTGAACGAGTCGTTTGTTGTTTTTTGAGTTCTCTGAGTGTGGGGGAATTAAAAAGGAAACTTCTTTCTGTGTTTGGGATGTGAGAAATTGTAGAGGAAGCATCTTTCTCTAATTTTGTCATCAGATTCTGCTCCAGCAGATCTGATTTGCTCTGTGTCTTGTCTTATCTATGGAGACAGTAATCTGAGTTTTTCTGAGTGTTTAATGTTAGTTTACAACTACCTACTTTGTTGCTGCTGTTTTGTATTGCGGCTATGAATTTTGGTGGAGCTCGATTGGTTTGTGGGTAGGTGGAAATCTTGGTGAATTTGTAGGGAACCATATGAGGTAATCTTCAATTTTCAGTCTTCAATTCTCAATTTTATGACTTTAGTTTTCGATTTAGTTTGCAGGTTAAATTTCAAAT